CTGACTAAAAACCACCGTTCCTACACTCTTCGAGCCGGAGCCCTGGCAACCCGTTAGGTATCGGGCATCAGCCCTATTGGGCCCCATGTATGGAACAAATCAGTTTAAATAAATGTTAAGCAGCGCGGCCGAGGTTTCAAGTTCCCGAACTTGTCTTCCTCTCGTGTTCTTTTCAACATAAAAAAATGTCCAATTCAATGCAGTCATTTAGGAGGTATGAGTTTATGCGCACAAATGCGCACAAACAAATTGGTGATTCATTTTTAATCACACATTTTTTTTATAGGTAGAGAGAATCGAATCTTGTTACCTATGGTCAATAGTTTATCAGTCTTTTATGAATTAAGCATTACGCAATATTTTGGCTATTTATAGCACGTATTATGAACGTAGATAACCAATATTTTAATCCTTCATTTTTTTTCACGTTAATTACTTTTTATCATAATTTCGAATTGGTTCAGATTTGTTTATTAGGCTAGGCTAGATTTGTTCTTGCGTAAATATTTTAAATAGGATTTGTAAGTGGAAGCCGGTATATAATTAAATTACCTGTTTCGTGAGCAATTTCAATTAATTCACAATTAAATTGTATACATGTCGTGAGTACCTAAAGCAAAAACCAGGCACACGACACTAATCGCACAATATAGCGCTTAAATCGCTGCAAACAATCTCGTACAATACAAAGTGTTTAGTTAATAAAGCGATGAAAGCGCGGTCAGTGTAAACAGTTTGCACTCCGCGCTACGTTCCGAACGCTCTCTGCATTGTCTGTGCCGTGTCATACTATTCAAATTTGGAACGCGATTGAGGCGGGATTTTTTTTTATTCTCTTTGACGTTTAATTTCTTAATGTCAGATTTCTTTTAAAAAATTAAGTGTTTTCGTATTAAAACAATGTGTAAACAGTGTTATTTTGTTGCTGGAATATTCTTTTTTAAATATTGTGGTTAATTTTATCTTATCTTCGTACCGAGCGATAGTTAATTTTGTTAACGTTTGTGTGACTACTTCGCGCGTAATTTGACGTTTTATTGACAGAAAAATAAAAATTAAAACAAAAATGTGTTGTGTTCCAAGTGTCTATTGTTTTATCTTGAAGTTAAGATAACTATAAAACTGTGACCTCGCATACATCAGCTGTGGTGCTTTGATAATATAGATAAAATAAGTGTTACGTGTGATAAAAAGTCATTTAAATAAATATGAATATGGATCTGTTTAGGATAGGCTATAAGAGACAATTTTCACAATTGATACAGTAAGTAAAATACAAAATCTTGAATTTATTCATAACATCACACCTTTTATCCCCGAAAGGGTAGGCAGAGGTTCACATTGCGCCACTTAATGCCACTGTACAATGTAACACCCACTTTTCACTATTTATGTTAAGAGTCCCATGTAATAGGGGGTGAACCTATTGCCATATACCGGGCGCTAATCCAGACTCCGTGCTACTACTTACTGAGATTTTTTTTAAAAAACCCAGTAATACTTTGCCCGACCTGGGAATCGAACCCGAGACCCCTTGCCCGGGTCAAGTCACACTTACGACCACTCGGCCAACGAGGCAGCCAGCAGGCATTTTAAATAAGTACTTTTGCAATCTAATTGATACATTTTTAATTTGTATTAAGTACCTATGTATCTAGTTGTTACTAGTGGCGTAACTACAGGGTGGCAAGTCAGCAAAATGGCCACGGGCCCCGATTCTCATTTGAACTATTCTTTGGATGAGCCGGTAAACGAGCAATAACAGTGCTTACTCTTGAAATCAATCTCAATGTCTATGCAATTTCAATCCAATAAAAACTCAATAATTATTCAATGTCAAAACTGTCAAAATCTTAGCTGTTACAATAGCATTCAGAGTTCATGGACACCCGAAACATCAGAGGCGTTACCAGCCTTTTGGGGATTAGGAATTTGGGGATTGTTCGGGATTCGGGGATTGGGGAACCTCACACACACGACAAAACAACGCAAGCGGTGTTTCCCGTCAGTTTCCTGTGATATTGGGAAGAAGATCTTATCCAGTGAAATTGGCCCCGAACGCTATAGTTACGTCTACGTCACTGGTTACTACCGTCATCTTGCGAAAATAACACTTTAAATAAAATATATATCCTGTCTTTATAGTTTCGTATTAGTCTTTAAGTCTCAGTAGGTTAATGCCATTTTACTTTTACTGAGTAAACCTGTTCCAAGTTTGTTTTGTTTTATTGCCATTTATAGAGATACCGATGCAAGCTGGTTGCGTTAAAATATAGGTATAACTACTGTAAAAATGTAGGTAGAATACTAGTTTTTGTGATGCATTTTTAATAGTGATTGACTGTCTTGGAACTTGGGAGTGGCGGCGACTGTGGAATTAGGTATTTTATTCATTCCCGGATCTCGTGCTTTTTTGGATGTTCCAAAAGCTCAGAAGGATGAGAACCTTTATTATCGTCGGCGGTATTTCCGAAACGATACGACCTTCAAACCTTCAAGAAAAGAGCGTACTCCTTTTTAAAAGGCCGGCAACGCACCTGTGACTCTGCTGGTGTTTCGGGTGTCCATGGGCGGCGCTGATCGCTTACCATCAGGTGATCCGTCTGCACGTTTGCCTCCTATTCCATAAAAAAAAAAACTCAGATTTATCCAAAAATAATTTGTATTCACGTGTTGTACAAAAAATTATCTGTCCGCTGTCAAAAACAAAAACCGCGCGAATGGCCGACTGAGACAGTGTTGCCACGTTCAGAAACTAAAACAATCCACGATATTACTATTTGACAGTTTAGTGTTTGAAATACTTCACTACATAGCATAAATCAAAATCGCTATCCGCCGTCTGTCTGTCCCTATGTATGCTTAGATCTTTAAAACTACGCAACGGATGTTGATACGGTTTTTTTAATAGATAGAGTGATTGTTAAGGAAGGTTTATATGTCACAAGTAAATATAGTGTTACACAAATTTTCGTATTAGGATGTACATAGGCGACACTGATCACTCACTGTCAAGTGATCAAGAATTGCCTATCCCAAAAATGCGGCTACTACCAACGTGGGACAAAATCATGTGCTTAAACCATCATGCGTACAGCCACGTACCGTCCATTGGCTCCCACAGTCCTCCCCCAATGACTATCTCCTAACCTCATCGCGAGGTTGGAACCGACCTGCATACTGCGGCACTACGTGACTGACTGTGATACAGCGGTTACGGTTATCTATGTAAAAAGTTACTAAACACAACACACATTGCATCAGTATAAATAAACATGACCAAGGATTATGATAAGACCAACGTTACCCAAATATTATGCCATGACTCGATCATTTTTACATTCTGTGTGAGCCCTTTAACACTCATGAACTGGTTCTATCAGAGCTGATGTTCGAGTGACGCTGCGAAAAACCTCAATGTCTTCTCCCGCCTCGATGTCGAGCCGGAGCCCTGGTAACCCGTTAGGTTCTACGCGGCTCCGTATCGGCATCAGCCCTATTGGGCCCCATCCGTGGTGGTCTGATGGCTCTTTGAGGCGCGCGCGGAATGCGATGCGTCCTAGGCTGGGGTCTGGTTCTGGGTGCTTACTCTTGAAACCAATCTCAATGTCAATGCAATTTCAATCCAATAAAATCTCAA